TCGCACGTCTTATTTCGGCGCCGCACCATTTTTCTGGTTGGCTAACGTAAATACCGCATGAAAAAGGCATGCTATTGCGTCAGAGCGGTGATCACCCACTTTGCATTAGTGTACTTGAGCGCGCGCGCGCGCCTGAGCACATGCGCGAGACGGCATTAGTCTTCGACGTCGTCATCGTCATCATCAGATACGTAAACCCGTGGCATTGGTCGCGTAGCAGGCAGACGGCGGTTGTTCTACCATCTCACACCACCACCAGATCGTTTGGGCTGTCCTGTTCTGTTGTGCTTTTTTGTTTCTGTTACGTGGGCTTGCTTCGTTTGATTGTCTGTTGCAATCTGCCATTTAATTCCACGTCACATCTGCTTTGGATGTTAAGCATTGATGGTGAACTCGAACGGCTTGCAGTCCAGGAGTCCTCGGAGACGCTCTACTCGGTGCCCATCCAGTCACCTGACTGTCCATTACCTGCAGGCTCCTTTGGCACCTCTGTGGTGCCCACCACGGCGCCCGGCTGGCAGAGCTCCAATGTCGTGCCCCGGAAGTATGCAAAAATCTTCGCGGCTGATGAGCTCTACGATGAAGATGACGAAAAGGATCGTGAGTGCATTTTGAAGTTACATTCTGTCCATATTTACTGACTTTTTTCATGCACTCGTTGGACATTATCTTATGAAGGAGATTTTTCAAGTCGAGAATCCCCTTGCAGCTGACTGTTGTCAATCGACGATTCAGTGTTCACTGCTTTTTTTCAAAGAGCCGCCTGAAAATAGTTCTCGCTCAGGTGTCTTACGGAATTCGCGATTAAAGATTTAATACTTGACTAATGAACGAGTAATGCGTGGTTAATGCACAGTAAGTGCACAGCAGAAAATGCATTAAAGGTGCTTGTAATTGTTTTACTTAAATAAAATTGTAGGTTAAAAGGGAGCCTATAGACCAAAAAGCTCGTAGAACAACCCATTTGACCATTAGGGACCCAAATGGTTACTAAAGGAAGCCTATTTCCATTGGTCGGCCTCACAAGAAAGCCATACCATATTCGCTGACTATTTTTAGTTTGTTACTAAATATTTTTTATGCTCAAAATCTTTTTCTAATTGTCATCTATTTGTACTTCTATAAGCATAGCAAAATAAAAAAAATATGCATGCCGGAATACAGAGCAACTTGATTAGTTTACGTCTTGCTAGGTGTGTTCACTCGTAGGTGTAAACCATATATTTTAAAGGATAGTGTTGTAGGCGGCCATTGAGGTTATAGTAGTGTTTTAGGATAGTAATTTAAGAAATGCGTGGTTTTCGAGCATTAAACTCAATAGTTTTGAATGGGATTTCAACTATTCGAGGTCAGCTGTGGTTCGTAACCACCCCAAATACGGGATCTGATAATATTACAAACTATGGAAAATAATCCCGACGGACATAACGCTGAGTCAGGACATTTCTTTATTGGACGAGATAAAAGGCCAAACCTTAGTTGGCCAGTTCCTCGCACAATACCATGCCTCCCGCATACTAGAGATCGAGCACATGTACCGCGAACCAGAATTTTTGCTATTTGTGTTCCTTTTCGTAGTCAAGACGCAAGTCAGCAATTTATACGGTTCCACGTGTAACCTCCCCCCATTTCGGTGGACTTGTTTTCGGTAGAATTGTGTTTAGTAGCGTTCGGCTACACTAAGATTGCATGAGGTAGGACCGACATTCTGCCATCGGAATGATGTTGGCGTGCATTCACATACCCTCCATCGGCACGATTGTTGTGACAGCTACTTTGTCGGGTGGGATGTTGTCTACTCACCACTCCAACTGTTTTTCTTAAGCGTTTCGATATCAGCCCCCACCTCACCCCGTCTCGCGTATGTCTGAGAGTCTGTCGAAGTAGGAATACGCAACAATCAAATCAGAAAAATGAATAGACAAGTCTTTTTTGTCATTTGTTACATTTACTTATTGCAAAGCTTTTCTCCATATTTTTCTCCCCATGGTACGGCCGCTGTTGCTCTTCTTTAAAATCAACCATCCACGACCCTTGGACTGTTTTAAATGAACATCTGTCCCTAATGCTAGCGACGCCAAAAGCATGTTTAGAGATCAGGCTTTGGTAGATTTACGCACTTTAGCCAATAAGAGTCGACTGAGCAATGACCACCTCAGTGCAAGAAGTTTTGAAAATCTTTAATTAATTCATCCAACATGCGCCCTGGCTAACATTGTCTTACCTGTTTTTCCGACTCAACGACCACTCATAGCTAAATACGCTTAGGTAGAAAGAGAATGCCAGTAGGTCCGCTGTGACTGTAAGTGTCAATGTAACATTCAGTTT